TAGGGAGAATGACCCCTGATCTACTCCTGATGACCTCCAAGTGTATAGTCATTTGCAAGCAGCTAGTCTTGGCATATATCTGGGGAAGACAACTTGGGAGAAACCCTTCTGTTTCCCACAAAACCCCACCTAGTTTCACAAATAGAAAGATGATGGTATTTTAAAGTGTGTGTGTGTGTGTGTGCACATGCTTGTGTCCATATACAAACATGCACATTTTAAAAAAATATTTTTATTGGGGACTCGTACAATTCTTATCACAATCCATATATACATCCATTGTGTCAAGCACATTTGTACATTTGTTGCCATCATCATTCTCAAAACGTTTTCTTTCTACTTGAACCCTTGATATCAGCTCCTCATTTTTTCCCCTCCTTCCCCGCTCCCCCCACACATTTTTTTAAGATAATTTTGAGAGCTCTTATAGCAACCCATACAGCAATTGTATCAAACATATTTGTACATATGTTGCCATCATTCTTTTCTAAACATTTACTATTTCTATTTGAGCCCTTGGTATCAGCTCCTCTTTTTTCCCTTCATCCCCATCCACACGTTTTTGAAGTCCCCTGGTATTTTCCTGCATATCTGTATTTTTTAAAATTACAGATCTTCAGGTAGGAGGTCCTGGGTGACGTGGGCACCCGCGGAAAACATGCTGCGCCAGATCCTCAGCCAGGCCAGGAAGCAGCCGAGTTTGATCCCTCTCTTCGTGTTGACTGGAGCTGGAGGGAATGGAGCGGCACCATATGCCACGCGTCTGCCACTGCTTAATCCCGATGTCCGCTGGGACGGAAAGAACCACCCAGAACCAGGGAATAAACTTGGTCCCCATGCACAATCTAAGTTCTTCGCTGTGAACACGGATCACAGCGCACTGAAGAAAGAAGGCCCTGACTTCTCAATGAAATGTTTTCCCTCAAGCTGCTCAGAAGGAGGGTCTTCCAGTTATCCACACAAGTTTCCATGGAAACAGTACATCCTTCGCTCCTAAGTGCACGAAATCATGTTGCTGTGCTGTGTTGGGGTTTACACTGAATAATAAACATCTGAAACTCGAAAAAAAATACAGATAAAAAAATGTGCTTGCATGATGAAGCGGGGTGATGCTGGCATTTTGTCAATGATGCCATAACCACACTTGTGCCTGGTTCTGGTCATCTGGGTTACCTCTGGCAGTGGGGAGAGATTTCTAGTTAGAAAATTAGTGAGAGTTGCACTAATTGCTCTTTAGATTTTTCTTGGTAAGATCTGACTGCTTCTCCAATCTGCCCAATGTGATCAGCATTTGGGTTCCTGCTAGGGGAAGCCAGCCCCAGCACATGATCACGGGTCCAGTAGGCGCAACTGTACAGCGATAGCAAGTGAAGATTATAGTAAAGTCATAGCATGAGAGAGAGAAGAGAAATATTGAAACAATGGAGTCAGACACAATTCATGGAAGCAATGCTCACCTCAGCCCCGCTTGGTGGTCCACATGGAGAGCCAGATTTAACGCTAACCAAGGCTTTTATATTCTCTGGGGACATGAAAGCCCCCTCATTACAGGTGAGGACATACAAGGGGTTGTGCTATAGGTAATACAGTAGTGGGAGGGGGTGATCTAGGGGTATCCACGCAATAGGAAGAGGAGGGAGTAGGGGTATACATGTGGCAAGTTGGGCAGATCCTAGATACAGGATGGCAGCTTAACTTTGGATGTTCAGGGGTGGGTTTGATCTGTTCTCTGGATCTCCACAAGAACCATTATCAGTAGGGTATAAACCCCATCCACAGGAACCAAGCTAATGGTTGCAAGCCTCAGGGAGAAATAGTCCATTGTCCCCAGCAGCAGGGAGCAGGCCCACCCAGGGGTGGGGCGAGCCAACGGTTGCCTTGAAGGAAATAATTTTTATCATTAGCTACAAGCAGTGTCCTAAATCTAACATATTTAGGGGAGAGGACTTGGGAGAAATCTTTGTCTCCCACAGGTTCCTGCTTCCAAGTAACTGAAGCCCCTGATTTAGTTTAGAAAAAACTCTAGCTAACCCTTTTCACCGTAAAAAAAAAAAAAAGACTCCAATTTGTGGAGGCTCTGTGTCAGAGTAGAATTGAAACCCAAAGACTTCTCGATAGCTGATTTAGGGTTGTGGTGGTGGGGTGTGTTTTTTGGGGGGGGGCTTGGGGGGAACAGGGGGAGTATAGATTGTTGCTGCGTTCTTCCAAAGCACTTCCGGATGGACTCAAATTTCCGATCTTGCTGTCAGCCTGGCACATTTACCATTCGCAGCATCCGCAAACTCCACTCTTCCTTATTTATTTTCTTGTTAGGGGCTGTGGAGTTAGCTCTGACTCATATAGCTACCCTGTATGCCGCAGAACAAAACACTGCCCCGTCCTGAACCACCCTCACAGCCCTCCCCGTGCCAATCACTGCACCTGCCACCTCGCAAGGGTCTTCCATCTGGATTACCCTCCACCAAGGTCCTCCTGATAACGTGCCCAAAGCCCTTGAGGCTCAGTCTCCCCATTCTCTCTTCGGAGGAACATTCTGACTGCACTTCTTTCGATGTAGTTTCGTTTTTTTCTGGGTGTCGGTAGTGTATTTAATGATTCTTACTACCGCCCATTCAAAGGCATCAACTCTTCTTTGATCTTCCTTATTCATTGACTCACCTTCACTTGCACATGGGGAGACTCAGAATATTATGACTTGGTTCAGGTGTGCCTTCGTCTCCCTTCAGAGATCGTTTGCAGCAGACTTGCTCAATGCAAGTGAAACGAAAACCTCGACAGTGTCCATCTCTTCTCCATTGACTGTGATGTTGTTTATTGGTCCAGGGTACCATTTCTAGTTTCTGTAAGTCCAGGTGCAAAGCATATGGAAGGCTGTAGCTTTGATCTTTATCCGTCAGAGCTTCAAGTCCTCTTCACTTTAAGCAAGGCTGTACTGTCTGCCTAGAGCAGGTGCTTAATCTTCCTCCACTCCTGGCACCTGATTCTTCTTCAGGTAGCCCATCCAGAGCCTCAGGTGATTGGCTCAGCCGCAGATGGTGACAGAATACAACCCTCCTGCATCCTTTTCCTGTTTTAGACCAATTAGCATCCTTTGTTCTGTTCCAGTGACTGTCCCTCTGGCCTAGGATGTTTGCTGGAATTCCCATTCTTCACAATGTTACCCACAATTTGTTATGCTCCATGCAGTTGTCCGCATTTGCATAGTCAATAAAACACAGGTAAGATCCATATGTTACCAGGAATGAGATCCCTCGTTCCACCCCCTCTTATAGATCTGGCTTGAGTTTCTGGCAGTTCCCTGTTGTACTACAGCAACTGTTTTTAAATTACCTTTAGCAAAATTTTACTTGCATGGGATATTGTGATAATTGTTTGATAATGTCCACATTTTGGGAAGATCTCCTATCTTTGGAATGGACATAAATATAGATCTGTTCCAGACAGTTGGCTTATGAAATCGTCTTCCAAATTTCTTGGCCTAGTTCAAGTAAGCACTTTCAAAACGGCATCATTTACTGAAACATCCCAATTGGTTTTCGGTCAGTTCCTGGAGCCTTGTTTATTGTAAATGCCTTTAGTGTAGCTTGGACTTCTTTATTCAATAGTATCAGTTCTTGACATACGCTACCTCCCCAAATAATGAAGGTTGACCAAATTTTGTTTGGTACAGTGACGCCATTCTTTACATCTTCTTTTTCTGGCCCCATCTTCTTGTGATGTTTCCTGCATCATTCAGTATTTTGACCATAGATTTCTTCAGTATTGTAACTTTTTTAAAAAACATTTTATTAGGGGCTCATACAACTGTTATCGCAATCCATACACACATCAATTGTGTAAAGCGCATTTGTACGTCATTCTCAAAACATTTTCTCTCCACTTAAACCCCCGGCATTAGGTCCTCATTTTTCCCCTCCCTCCCCGCTCCCCCCTCCTTCATGAGCCCTTGATAGTTTATAAATTGGTATTTTGTCATATCTTGCCCTGTCCGACGTCTCCCTTCACCCACTTTTCAGTTGTCTGTCCCCCAGGGAGGAGGTCACATATAGTTCCTTGTAACCAGTTCCCTCTTTCCTACCCATTCTCCCTTTACCCTCCCTGTTTCGCCACTCACATCACTGGTCCTGTAGGGCTCATCCGCCCTGGATTCCCTGTATTTTCAGTTCCTATCTGTACCAGTGTACATCCTCTGGTCTAGCCAGACTTGCAAGGTCGAATTCGAGACATGGTAGTGGGAGCGAGGAGGACAGTATTGTAACTTAAGCCTTGAATTGTGGCAAAAATATGCTACACAAAACATTTTCCAAATCCACAGCTCATAGCTTCGACTTGTATAATTCAGTGCCACTGATCATACTCAGTGCTGTACAGCCATTATTGATATCCTTTTCTAGATTATTCCACTACCACTGACATACATGCAATGCCTGCCTGCGGCCCCACCTCCCCACCCCCACCCCCCAACTCTCTGTTCAGGTTTTACACTTTTTTTCACTTCACCTTAGCTTCTTGATATTCTAGAGCAAGTTTCAGAGCCTCTGCGCACACCTCTGCTTCTGCTTGTTACTGGATGCCGCTGTTTCTTCTTTCTTGTTTTAAGGTAGGCCACATCCCCAAATGAATGACCTGAATGCTCAGCTTCATCCGTGTCATTAGTGCCAACTTCTGCTGCCATTCATAAGGCACTCGGTGGCCAGTTTTGTTTTAAAGAAGTATAGTGTCAGGTCCTCCTTTGCAGTTTGTCTTGGTTTGAACGCTCTGCTGCAACCTGCGCACTCTAGGTGACCCTGCTGTATGTGAAGAATCCCAGTGGCATAGTTTCCAGCATCACAATCATATAAAAACCACCACTGTTCAAGACAGGTGAGTGGTGGACACCCCCTATATTGATAATCATATAAATGTTCCAACCAAGTGGTGGAATAGGAGGGTGTGTGTGTGTGTGTGTATATATATATATAAAATACTTTTATTGGAGGCTCTTACATCTCTTATCACAATCCATACATTCCTCCAACTGCAGTGGGTCCTGCTCCCTGCTGCTGGGGACAATGGACAGGCTCCTGTAAGAGGTGTTTACACCCTACTGATAATGGTTCCTATGGAGACCCAGAGACCAGGTCAAAGTTAAGCTGCCATCCTAAATCTAGGATCCGCCCATCTTGTCACATGTATACCCCCAGTTCCTCCTCTTCCTATTGCGTGTATGTCCCTAGACCACCCCCTTATTGCTGTATAACCTATAGTGCAACCCCTTCCTGTGACATATGACTTTACCTGTAATTAGTGGGCTTGCATGCCCCCAGAAGGTATATAGGCCTGGGTCAGCAATAGAGCTCGCTCCTCTCTCTCTGGGCTCTCTTGCTGGTCACTCCCCACTCTTCCCCCTCTCCTCTCCTGTCCTCACACCAGGTTCCGATGGAAGGAGCCATGACACTCTCTCCCTTGTTCTCTTTCCTGTCCTCCTTCCCTTCCCCTCTCTCCACGTGGACCACCAAGCCGGGCTGAGGTGAGCAATGCTACCATGCAATGTGTCTGACTGCATTATTGTAATATCTCTCATGCTCTCGATGACTTTAATATTCATATATCTCAACCATACAATTGTGCATTACTGAACCCGTGGGTAGTAGTAGCTGTGGGGGCTAGCCCCCCCATCCACCCCTCAAAATTTAATACTACATGCCGCCATCATCATTTTCAAAGCATTCTCTTCCCACTTGAGCCCCTGATATAAGTTCCTTGGTGTGTATATTTTTGCCACAATTAAAAATAATAATTACACGAATAACAATTAGTACAAGGAAGAAGAAATGTTCTAGAATTGATTGTGGCAATGACTGTACAACTCTTCTTGATATGATTGAACGATTGAATTGTATGACATGTGGATGAAGAGCCAACAAAACTGTTATATAAACGACAGAGCAAGATATGACAAAATACCCATTTATAAACTATCAAGGGCTCATGCAGGAGGGGGGAGCGGGGAGGGAGGGGAAAAATGAGGACCTAATGTCGGGGGTTTAAATGGAGAGAAAATG